TCAATAAATTCCAACTAAGCTACCATCCACACAACGTCTCCCTCCCAGACTACTCAGGTTTACGACACGTCACACACCGCACCCAGCATTAGGGCTCGTTTTTTCAAAATATAACGCCGAGCTGAATACAGCTTACTGTGATTTTTGTATTACCTGTTACCGTAACGGCCGTTACATGTATTCCGTTAGCACACCCAACGCCTGGTTGGGGAAGAGCATTCACCGAGTATTTTAGTATAATAAGCAAGAGTTGTTGCGGCCCCATATTTATTGACCATTCCAAAGCGTTTGAATAAGCGCGTCGATCATCACATCTTAAGCGCTGGGCTACTCAGTATTGGCATTATCCACGCATGCAGTGGGTGGTTGTGAATGCTACCGTCTCTGAAAGGGTCCCAATGTGTTCACTTTGATGGCCTCACTTCTGAGTGGGTTGACATTGCGTAATGGTGCGCCCGCAAGGTTCTGTTTTAGGTCGCAGCTTTTATTCTCCTATATAATATCAGAAACCAGTTTAGGCTGAAAACGTGCGCCGCTGACTCGTATCTCCGCGCCGCGTCCCTCATAGTTAAGGAGGCTGAGCGACTACAAAACATTTTATACACTCCAGCATACCCCACGACGCTCAGCCGCTCCGCCTTGAGCTAAGCTCTTTTACCAAAGTGTTGAAGAAAACGAAGTACATCGCCTCTCTTTGATCCATTGAGACAAGCGCCGGTGTCCATGGTGCTATCCCGTTAACAATCCTCTTTCCTCTCTGCATGAAAGAGAACCCGACCCTGGCACCACCATCACTCTCATCCACCAGCCCCAGCGCCGTTTGTAGCGCCGTGCGGTCGAAAGCAAGGCACGACGACCCAAAACACACCCCAAAAACGACACGAATACCACAAACAGATATTCTGCCTTTATTTCAAGGATAAAATAATACCTTTCTACGACAACAAACAGCCAACACCTCAGCACCCACAGCGTGGATCACATAACAGACACCAAACTCCACCCACCCAGCCACGCAACCAACACTAAGAACCACCGGAACGAAGACAAGACTAAGGTCTCGGCGCTATCGATAATAGAACAAGCTTCCTAAGTTTCTAAAACCTACAACAACAAAGATAAAAAAAAACAAAAACTCTGAGTGAAAACGTCACGGGAGAGAGAGGAGAGGAGAGTTAAGGGATAGTGGATAAAACAGAACATTCAAAAGGACTTAGGAGAAGGACTGGGCGGTACTTTAGAGAATCGCGAAAAGACTTTCACTAACACAGACGTGTTTAGAACTGCGCCATCCCACGAAACACAAAACCCCAAACCTCCCAGCGGGACATCATGAATGTGTCTGCTGCTGTGGGGAAACTAGGAAACTACAGCTTTCTATAGCCGGACTACAACATGGAAGTATAATATAGAAGGAAGGGACACTGTAACTTCATGCTAGAGAGCTCTTGCACCGGTGCTCTGATGCGTGTTTTATGCTTTAAAATGAACGTGGGACAACAGAGAAACACTATTCTTCATGAGCAAAGTTGGAATTGAAATAAAAAAGGAAAGTGAAACTTATGGCTCGTGACAAAATGATCCCAATACGTATGATTTTATGAACTATGAAAATATCTTAAATCAATACAAATGTAATTTATTATAAACGTTAGTCCTTAACATCTATCAGCTGGTGTATATCACCATTCAACATCTTTAAAAGTTGAACAAACTCCACACAGCTCATGTAAACAACTGGTGAAATGTTGACTTTATTTGATCTTTCAGTAAAAAGCTATGTTCATATTTCTCTTTTTGATTATAATGACTGATGAAAGCGTTCAGAACAAGCGCCTTTGCAACTCTACGCACATACGTTTTAAAAATGCTTAATAAGCACGTAACGTTCATGATATCATTTCTGTCGGTCATAATCGGTTGTTTCCTGAAGCGGCCGAAATGTTGAGTGACTGCAAATGTGCGGCTGGCGGGCTGCAATGCATTTGGGGCAGGCATTTTGCTCTCTCCTTTCGTCAAGGAGGTCCAGTGGTTCCTAAGGCTAAAAAGGACGGTTATAAAGGAAGTTTGAAACTCTCGCTCTTCTTCATTTAGGAGAATTGGAACGGTACTTAAAATGGCTGCCACTGACGTACTTCCGGGTCATTTCACTTGGTTAGGAAGGTTCCTAAGCTAAATGGACTATTGGAACGCAACCCTCATACAGGGAGGGGTAATCACAAGACGAGAAACAGCCGGGCAGAGGAGGAGAAACACAAGGGCCACAGGTGAACACAATCAGACAACTAGATACACCAGGGAAACTAACGACAGGAGGAAAAGCACAGGGAAAAGGACCAGACAATATACCAAGGGAAAACATGACAGGGAAAACAGCAAAACACCCAAAACAAGACATACAAAACGTGATATAACACAATAATCGTAACAGCGTTGCTGTTATCACTGGCTCAGCGTCATTTCATTTGACCAAATATCTTTACATATACATTTAATATATTTTATTATGATTCCATCCACCTTTTTGTGTTATGTCCTTTTATTTAAAACATTCTTTGAGACTTCATCTTCTGGTTAAAATTTCAATAAATGTAATTTGTATAATCAATCACTCTTTTGTGTTTATTCTACATGAAAATGTTAGAGATTCCATTCAAATCTGTTAATTATTCATATCTTCCTCAGGCTAGGAATAGTATGGCCAATTTGTAATGCTAAATGTTTATCATTTTCTCACAGGATATAGAATGAGACAACACAGTTTGTATCCATTTTGTATGAGTAAATGCCTCTTCAGACCAACATAGTAAGATGTGAGCATGTTCCTAATTGTGTTGGTATGCAACCTAGGTCTGGTCTGTTTAATAAAGTGAATCTGCCACTTTTATATTGTAGAATTGGTTCAATTAAAGCAGTCTTTAATTGTTTATCCTAAACATAGCCATATGTGCTTTTGAAATGTAACATGTCTTTGAAAAAATAACAGTTTATATTGTGTATCACCTTTAGCTTGAAAATACATAGATGTGGGTTTTTTTATCTATAAAATAAATAAATAGACAGACAGACACTTTACCGATCCCAAATTGGGAAATTATTTTACAGCAGCAGTGTGTTCAGGTATTAAAATATTTAAAGTTGGAATAAAGTATAAACTACACAACACAAGTATAATGCACAGCAATGCATAAAAAAAATCCGATATGTTCATGAAAACTCCCCAGGAGGTACCAACACAAACGTGGCTGCATGAGTTGCACTGTATGATCTGTGGTGTAGTGGGCTGTCACTCAAAAATTGAGTAGCCAATGCACCCCTCGAAGTACCGCCCCACCCTCGGACGGTTGTTGTCAGAATACGAAACAAAAATAAAGGGGAGGGCGCAACGAAAGAAGACAAAGTAACTAATACATTGTNACACACACACACACACACACACACACACACACACACACACACACACACACACACACACACACACACACACACACACACACACACACACACACACACACACACCAGTGTGTGTGTGTGTGTGTGTGTGTGTGTGTGTGTGTGTGTGTGTGTGTGTGTGTGTGTGTGTGTGTGTGTGTGTGTGTGTGTGTGTGTGTGTGTGTGTGTGTGTGTGTGTGTATTGATTAGCTTCAACCCTTTGACTGCTACAGTGTGAGGTGTCCATGACCGAGCCAATCACTGATGAGAAGGACCCTGCTCACTTCATAGTGCTCACCTTCTTTTATCAGCAGTCTTATTCCTAGTTTACTGAAACATCTAATTACATCAGTGTGCACACTTACACATGCAAATATATAGCATGAACACACACTGACTCACACACACGTTTTTCACTCTGCTGCCAATTGCTTGACTCATTTTTCATTAACAGAAGGGAGTGAGAGTATAGCACGATAACAATTTGGTATAAAACATCTTGGTTTCTAAGGCTACATTGCTACTCACAGAATGATATTTATGTTCTCTTGTATTAATTCGCATTGCATTTGATATTGGTGTCATCCAAAAGTAACAGAAAGTAATCAGGTTACATTACTTTTATAGTTTGGTAACTATTAATTGTAAAGGATTACATTTTTATAGTAACCCTTCCAAACTTGATCATATTCAGTGCTTTTTTGGCTCTTGGATGATTCTAAAAAGCTGTGTGATAACTAAGTAACTCTGTCGGAATGAGTCCTTGGTGGTGGTAGTTGAGTGCAGAGCTTCGTGACCACAGAGCGTGTGAACGTTGTGATCAGCTGTTTTAGCGCAGTGCTGCTGTACAGGCCGACGTTAACAGCAGCCCTGTCTTTGCACACGGAGACCGACTCCGTCGTCCGGTGATCTAACCGCCTTATGGAAAAGCTTCACATATACATCGGTACGCAAATGCGCTTTGTGACACAAGTGACGGTACGCATTTCAGATTGTTGCCGCGCATGCGTACCTGCGTACCACTTATGTGCACCCCTGCCTATAACCACACTGACATATATTAATGTGGTTCTTTCAGATCCCTAATGTAAAGTGCAGTGAAGACAAACACATTCACTTGAAAAGGTCAGTACATTTATTCAAAGCTTGCATTCACGCACACACACAGGCACACAAACACACACACACACACACACACACACACACACACACACACACACACACACACACACACACACACACACACACACACACACACGACACCAACACACACACACACACACACACACACACACACACACACACACACACACACACACACACACACACACACACACACACACACACACACACACACACACACACACACACACACACACACACACACACACACACACACACACACACACACACACACACACACATTTAGTCTGTCATGCACTTTTTCAAGATGTAGAAGTCCTGAGTTCTCTGTGTGTCTCAAAAGTATTCTATCATTTTTTGTAAGAACAATATATATATACATTAGTTTATATCTTATATTCTGTAATAGTTACATTATTTGTTGGAATGTAGGTATTGCAGTAATAGCTTTATGAGTTAGGATTGTATCAATCATCAAGAATATAGAATATTTTATAATCCCCCAATTGAAGCTGGACCCCAAAGAGATTTCTTACCAAACACATTATTAAGAAAAGATTTCCTGAGGAACATTGTGTAAAAATAGTTTCTATTTCAAATGTTACTTTGCACAAGTGAGGTCTGCTATTCATATAATGCAAGCAACATTTCTGATGTCCTTTGAAAGCCCATCAAATATTACATAAAGCACGGCAGTATTGTACACCAACGAACAGTCATGTGCCACAGCCAGTTGGGTTTTAAAATCCTGTTAGACATAATAAAGGCAGGTGCTACATTACATGTTGCAAACAGAGGAGATTAGATAGCCTTTAAAATTATACTGGTTGACAGAATTCAAAATAATGATCTCAATCAGACACATAGCTGCAATGTACTTCCTGTTTCTGAAACTTTGTCAACAGCCCTACTGTTTGAGCATGTAGCACAAGCACATAGGTTGAAGATGTTTACCCTCTTTTAATACAAATGTATCTGGCCATTGATCATATAAAAATTATTTGCTATTGCTTGGTTTTTCTTTGGGTTCCATCAAATACCATAAAAGCATGCTGCATGGAGACCACAATACATTGATAAGTAATAATGTCATTGCAGGTGTTTGGTCAGTATTTCTTTGCATCCCCTACAATCTGTCAATTTATGAGGTAGGGCTGAGCCATTCTAATGCATGTCACCGTGTATTTCCAAACCAAATAACATTTGGTTGAAAAGATTTCAGTATTCCAAAGATTCTGAAAAACACATCACATATAGCAAATTCAAGTCATTCCAGTTTTCTCATCCCAAACAATGGTTCAAAATTCATCATTGTGTTTTCATTGTCGATTCCTCACTTCCGAACCTGTATTCTATTAAAATAGGCCACACTGTAATCACATGCTCGTCCCTGATGCATGTCTTTATCACAGCGAAAGATTTAAAGAAAAAGAGAATAATCATTTTTTGCTGGAATGTTTGGACCCCTTTGTTTTTTTTTCCTCGTCTTTTTTCTCTTTTTCCTGCTGCAGCTTATTTTCTCTTTTCTTCTCCTCCTTTGCCTCCTTGTACTTCCAGATAGGAGGCTCCAGGTATCCATTCTGCCTTTTCTTCTTCTTCTTCTCTTTCTTTGGAGTTGGCTCCCCAGATTTTGTGACTTCAATCTTGGGAATACAGCCCGAGGGGAAGATGCTGTTTTGCCCCATGCTTCGGGGAATAAAGCTTCCAATGCCATGCTGCTGGCAGCAGGATGTCAGAGGGGTTGACACACCAGTTTGAGAATCTGAGGTGGTGACGGAGCCATTACTGTGGGACACTGTGCTCTCCTCCAACTCCTTGATGTTGTGCTTTTCAAGCAGTTCAGAGACGGCAAACCGTCGCTTGCCAATCTCTGGGGGGCTTGAAGGACAGAGTGGACGGCAAGCAGTGGCTACCAGTGGGCTGTGGAGGCCTGTAGTCATCCGCACCATGTGGTCCATGACCCCATTGTCTTGGGCGTCTTGAGGGAAGCTGAAAGAGAAACTGTCTTTTAAGCAATGCCTTAGCTTCTGACCAGCTGTTTTGGTGACGGTGGCCTTCGCTACAAGTAGCTTCAGCTCAGGCCACTCAGGAATGTAACTTTCACAGAACTGCACAGCGACCGGATGAACAAACAGGCGGCGTATTCTGTTAACAGTCTCAAACCTCCCTGTCTTAATGGCCCAGTCATTTAGACCTCTCCCCTGCACCAGGTCTATGGCATTCATATCCGCACCTGCACATGAAAAAGTGGAGAAAATATACTGTCAAAACAAGAACACAAGTTTTATAATCACTGGAGGCTGAGGGACCTGGGTAAATCAATTGCTCCTTCAGCAAAATTACCCCACCATGTGGTCACATTTAGGGCACAATTTATTGACTTGATGAACAGTGTTATTGCAATAAATCAGGCTATTACACAGAATTACAAAATAATGATAAATATATAAAGATCAGGCCAGAGTTCTTAGGATTTTCTACAACTCATTTTTGGAGGAAGACTATGTCAATAGTTTTCATACTTGAATCCATGTTGTTTCTTCTCAACCATTAGATATGTACCATGCATGAAGGTCTGTACCAATTTCCAAATATGGGCAGACTGCCTCTAAATGAATCTATTGTGCATGTGTGCATACACATCAGAAGTTCCTCTTTTCAAAATTGTGAAATGCTGCAAAGTTTATAGGATGTCTCATGTACCATTAACTTACCATGCATTAGCAGGGCGGACACACTCTCTGCCTGGCCCTGCAGGCCTGCCTTGATGAGGGCTGTGAAGCCGCGGGGATCCCTGACTTCAGTGTCCACACCAGAGAAGAAGTTAATGATGAAGTTTAGAATGGTGACAAAGCCTGCATTGGGGGGAAAAAAACATTATATTCATATGCCCTTACTAGATGTTGATGTTATATGCTGTTACTGTCTTAGACTGACCTGCCTGTGCAGCAATCATGAGGGCAGTGTTGCCATCATTGTCCTGGTGATTGATGTTAATCATTGGACATGTGTGCAGCATGGTGACTATGTCAATAAACCCCTTGACCACAGCCAGCATCAGTCCATTCTGAGGGGGATCAAGGTAGAAATAAATGTACTTTTATGAAAGTATTAGTTGTCTGTTCTAGGAAATATCCCAAATTCCAAAGTCACTTTAGTTGTGTGATTAAAAAGAAACACTGAAATCCATCTCACCCTGCCGTTGATGTCCAGTTCCATAGCCTCGTCTTTAGTAACTCCTCTCTCCAGGATCTTGAGCAGGGATGTGGGATCGTTCCTAGCACAGGCCTCGTACACCGTTTTAGCCGGCTCTGTATACTTCCCTTCCATTTCATATTGGGGAAGCACCGAGTCATCAGAAAGCACACTCCCTGAGTCCGAATCATCCAGGAGGATCTCTGAGTCCCCGGAGGGGCCATCACCCAGGTGGGGGTCATACTTTGAATTGGCCATTGGACAACCTTCTGCCTGGGATCACACCTGGGTGTCAGGTCTGTTGGGCAACACCCACATCTTGAATAGGAAAATATAAATGTTGTTATGATGGACACAAATGGAACACATTTTCTAGTTTCCCCCATTTTCCCCAATTGATGAGACAACTGTGCACGACCTCTGAACTCAGTAGACCAAAGGGGGCTGCAGTGAAGGGCATCCCTTAACACCATTACACTTTGTATGCCTGTGTAATGCATTGTTTGTAATGCTGTGTAATAGACAAAGAGCCAGGCAAACCCTATTCTATTTTACAGTCAAACAGCTACTTGTTTTTCTAGATATCTGAAATGGCAGTTTTTGTTGCAAATTACTAGTTTATTCTTATTCTTTATGTCGGGTAGAAATGGACATCTTATGTGCCAATCAGATACTGTCAAAAATCGATTCTTGGGTAAAAGGTGTGTGCAAAAGAAATATCCTTACAACTGAATTTTGTTTTGTGCCACCTTGAGCAGGTTTGTGGGCATTTTCTTCTCCTCAAAATAAGCCTCTTACACTAGATCAAGTATGACTGGAGGACCGATAAAACAACACTGGCAGCCTTTTGATGTCGACGTGTTAAACAGATCTGATGACTTGTAAGGGCCGTGTGTAAGGCACAGTGCCTAAAGAGAATGACCTCACCTCAGCACTCCTGTTGGAGCGGCTGATCTGTAAGTCGGTGATTTACAAGAAGGATAAGCTGACTTTAACAGCATGCTTTTTGCCTATATTTGCTCACCAGCTCAGCCCATTATAAAAGAGAAGAATAAAGGGTGTAGTTATGACTGAGTGTAATATAATTTCAATATTGCATACTTGTATGTAAAAATATGAGAGATGATATATCAACAAGTCAATTCCGGTACAGAAAAATGTCAAGAAAAACTGTAGGCATTTGCAGAAGCTCAGTCTGTGAAAGTCGTGTGAATGTGGGCATAGTAGGAGGAGGGTAGTGGGTTGAGAAAGGCCATATGGTGCCAGAAGCAATGGGGGGCCAGGCTAGTGACAGCATCTGTCATGGTGTCTTAACCATGCCACACTGCTCTGCATTACAAGTGCACTGGGGTATCCAGTGTGTTTTCTGGTATAAATAAAAAAAACTATACAAGTACAAATGTTCTGTTTGTATGAAACCAGTGATGACACTGATACACGTATTCAATCTTAATGTTTTGAAGGAGATGAGAGTGGAAAGAGTGTGCTTTGGTCCTGCATACAACACTAAACCATATCCACATGAGGCAACCAGATTTCACAAAAGCAGCTTTGCACCTGCTGATAATTTATTAGAGTAATAGCATCTTTTGACAAAGCTCTTGTTAACAAATTGAATAGCTCAACTCCTTTAATCCCACAAACACATTTCCTATTTCAGCATTGTGTCATGAAGAAGGTAGATTACTATCACACAAATGTTTCTCTCTCTTTCTCCTTCTGCACAAACACAGATGCTCTATTTTTTACTCTGCCATTGTGGCCTACACTTCCTTCTAGATTAACACCTTGCAAAGGGTCATTTGCTGAATCTTAACGGTGAGGTGTGGAGTGAGGATGAAACAAAAGTAGCAACAGTTTGTGCCAACGTTTTTTAGAACAAATAGTGATAGCAAATGCTCACCCTAAAATAATCCAGCCATTGGTTACTCCTTCTCTTCTGCAGTCAAACCACAACCATCTTCATATTTTGGACTTTACTTCTTCCTCTTGGCTCTTGGTAGAAACTGTTAACGTTTAAGTTTCCCAAACTGACTCCAGCTGAATACCTTCCCCCTCCTCTCATCTTCCCTACTGGCCAGTTAGGTTGCCTCCTCAATCGGCAATCTGTCCAGGTCCCAACATAGACTCTGCTTTCCTAAGTCAGGCAACTTGCTCTCTCCCTCTCATCCTGATTAGAGAAGATTTAAGGATTAAGAGAAAGAAACAGACAGCAGCCAACCTTGCTCCCCTTACGGTCCGTTAAGTTAGTCTGCTCTTTATTTCTTCTCCCGCTCACTTGTTTCCACAGCTCTCCCCGAGTCAGTCCATCCACAGCTCTCTGCTGCCCATCTGTTGTGTCAGGAAAATATCTCTAACCGTCCAAATCAGTGTGGTGACTGAATCATAGAGGCTCTGGCTCCTAAATATGTCTTTCTGCTGAGGACCCCCTGCCTGATTAATTTCAATGTGTCTGCGTGATGAGAGGCAGCATCTTGGGTCTGTTTTCCCATGGAAATCCATTTGCTGGGACAAAAAAGTAACCCTGCTGCTACTCTAAGCCAGGGCGCTTTGCTCCTAATTATTCCCATGACAGGGATGACACATGCAGACATGCAAAATAACACATGGGCATTCTGTGATGCATGCACACAATTGCTCAGATATAAGATGCTATGCACACACGAACACACATGGTACAACGACACAGATGCTCAAATAGTTAGAATCAACGGATTATACAATAGGCATCAAAGATGTTTTTTCTCTATCACAATTATGCTTTTATTAACACGCCCAGATCAAAAGTGAGCTCACATATTATTTTGTATTAGTATTCACATTTTCATCAAACATTCATTTAATTGACCTGGTGATTCGGGTAACGAGCCAACAGCAAAATCACAAATTGGAACAACTCAAGTCATTTTATATTCCATTTATAAGAAACCAGGCCAAGACACTTGAATAATTGTTTTCATACTAGTTTCACGATGGTTCTACACCCCAAGCCCTGCTTGAATTGTGATGCTTTGACCGCCAAATCCTACATGTGGACAGGACTACCGCGTAACAGTTTTATTCATATAATCACAGACTCAATCACATGGTTTTAAAGGTGCATGTTAATAGATTAACCCTGATAATGAATTCGAGAAGAGCCAATCTGTGTCTTCAAACATGTGAATGAAACCTGCCTTATGCAACATTTCCTCTTTTAAAGGGATGACTACTGCCCCCTTCTGATCAAACTGGGCCATGCAGCGATTATCCATGAATCTTGTTTATGTAATTCAAAATGATATTCAGACTGTTCATGTCTAAAATAGCTTCAAAATGAACCCTAACCCTCATGATCTACACCCCCTTCAAATGTATCAACAAACGTGTAACGAGGCACATCTTGTTTGCTCTGCACTCTGCATGTCTTTATTTTACAGTTTAATCCTAAAATACCATCAGCGAGTTCTATTAGATACTTCATGCCATAATATTAACCAGCAAAACTTTTTCAATATAGAGCTCTGTCTTGACTTAGAAAAGCCACTGTGACAAATTGGACGCTCACTCAAAAGCATTTTGATCCGGAGAATTATAGTTGCTGATCTGCTCTGAAGAGTTAGCCTACAAATACATGTTGTTGATACCAGCCATGTGAAGTGGTCACAAACCTGAACACAATCTCTCTAAAACCATCAAATGACCAATTCCTTATCAGAAGCTTCCTCAGATCAGCATCAGATCAGATATAACATCACACTAACTTGACCCATTAATCTAAAGGTGCTATGTTTAGACACAGGAGCCTGAGGTGGGTTTTGACCACTCACTGATATGAAACACAGGAAGTAGAAGAAAGTTCATGATTGGGCGAAGATTTATAGCTTGTGAAAGGTCAAAACAAGTGGATAGGAAGATTTTCAGAGGAAAGGGAAGTCTGTTTGGCAAAACAGGGTGTGTGTGTGTGTGTGTGTGTGTGTGTGTGTGTGTGTGTGTGTGTGTGTGTGTGTGTGTGTGTGTGTGTGTGTGTGTGTTATCCTGTTAGATATACAAGACTGATCTCACAGCTGTACCACACGAGGGCAGCAGCATACTTCAACATCAGCATTGTTTGTTTATCACATAGTAAAGTCCCAAAGATGTTTACAATATATTAACTAATCTGATGTAATCGAGTGAAGTACATTTTGTTCTGACTCCTACCTCTTGATAGTGCTCACACTTTCCTTTTAGGGTCACAGCTATTTGCCTCCTGTTCTGCAAATTCCTAACAGAGTTATTCACTCATCATCGCTGCAAAAGACAGCTCAACTTCTCCCCAGGCAGCAGAGTACCCAGCAGGGGTCACTGGTAGAGCAAAATCCTTTTTGGAAAGAAGCTTGGGAAGCAACAAACTAAGTTTAGCCAGCTTAGTGACTGATGTTAAAGACAGCCATGTGCTCAGCTAATATTAGACAGTTGGCAGTCTCTACAGGAAAGTCTCTTAGGTCAGACTCTACGATCATCTGCTATATTATTTCAGTCGACGCCGGGTTAACACACAGAACTCATGCTACTTGTTTAAAAGTGTTTATCCTGGAGGGATCAGGTGTATGGAATGAAACACGGAGACGGAGGAAACATTACTGAAGGTGTAATGCAAACATATTGCAATAGAAAGTGGACGTTTTTTTGTTTGTTACTTTGATACAATGGTGGGTGACTGATGCATGGGTAACAAATACTGCACATAAGACAATGATTTGCTCAAACCTTTGAGTAATTCTCTTTTACTCAAAACCACAAAATGAGACTTGCAATGGGCTGGGTTAGTGTTGGATTAGGGCAAGACAACATGAGGTAGAAAAGTATTCAAATGGGCACCACTACTCCTTAAATTCTGGTTGTGCATATTTTCAAAATATTTAAAGGAGGTTGACAAAAAAGTTGACTGATAACAAAGTAATATTGCATATTCTGAAATAACTTTACATGATTCAGCTGGCTCCACAGAGAAATACGAAACCTATTACTTTTGAAAGATTCCTTGTAGTTTGTTCCATATGGAATTGTAAGAGTAGTTTTAAAAGAAAGCAATGCAGTACAGGTCAACATTTTATACTGTTTTTACTTTTGTCATTTCATGCCTTTTAAGAGCAAGTGGAGGGAGGACAGGG